CCGCTGCCACCATTCCTCCTTCTCAGAGGCCTTTGGAAAGAGTACTGTGGCCAATGAAGAAGACGCAACATGTTTGGCAGCGCCATGCATGTTAAACTTTAGTTGTTTTATCTTATTATTAAACCGATTAGTCTTTGCAGCCTCAATACTTCAAAAAACCATTTAAACCCCACCTTTCAGCCTTCAATAGGGCTCTAAGGGAGCTGTAGCCTATAAGCTGGAGTTTGAATACCCACTAGCTGTTAGTTATACTTTCAAAAACAAAACACTCCCCTCCAAAACTGAACAACTTAAGCAGGACCGTCTTAAGCATATGTGGTGCCGGGGTGCAAAGATCCACGCAGCCCCCCCCCCGGTTGCCCAGAGTTGTCAACCTTTTTTTAAGGGTGGAACCCCAAAGTTGTTGGGCCGGCAAGGTGCGCACGGCAGAGGAGCCTGAGGCGGAGGCAGAGGCGGCAGCAGCAGAACAAGGCTGGCACCAGGTGCCGGGGGGGGGGCAAGCAGAGCCCAGCGCAACAACAGTAGAGGCGGAGGCGGAGGTGGCGGCAACTGAGCGAAACCAGGTGCCCCGTGTGAGCAGTGTGCACTGGGCGGGCCTCTCGACGGCCCACCGATGCCAGGCACGCAGGAGGATGGAGCCGGCCAGCTGCCTCAGTGCCTCACTTGCCGGCAGCAGAAGAGCTGTGGTGCTCCAAAGGGCTCTGCTCCGCTCAGCAGCGGCTGTCAGCTCTTCCCAATCCCCGGACTCCAAATCTCGGCCCCGGACTCTCGGCCTGGCCCTGAACTTAAGATGCCTTTTGTAAACTACTGTTCTTTCTGTTTCACTTAACTTTGAAGCACAGTTCACCAACCTGAAATGCCAGCTTTTTTCTGTCTTTTTCTCAAGAGTGATTATTGACCCTAGGGTCCTTTCAATCAGTGTCCAGAATCCCAGTCCAGAAAATCAGAGATATTTAACCAAGTCTTTTGGAACCGCTTTTCTATGGAAGCTAAAAAAAAAAAAAGGCTAGCAGCTTTATAGATTTGTTTAGTACAACTGTGAAATAAAGCTAGGGTCTCAGGTTCTGATTAACAAAGGGAGCCTGACTCCACATTAATAGCAATGGGTTACACGTAATACAAACAAAGAGCATAAAAGTATAAAAGGAAAGTAGATCAAATCGTACCCAAATCGTAGATCAAATTGTAACCAAAGAGTAACAATGCAGAGCTGGAAACGGGTATTATTTTAAAAGCATCAGGACAGATCCAGGATCATGACTTCCTTGGGCAATGGAATGGAAAGTAAAAACCAAGTGGAAAGGCTCAGAGTGATGTATTCTTCATATCGGGCAGGTTGGCAAGTCAAAAGCAATAAGGAATATCATCTGAACATGAGCAACTATGGCACCATTGATGACCTCATATTGTCTTCCGCTAACAGTAACTTACCAGCAGGCAGTGTGATGAGAATATTGAGTTTATCTTCAGATGGCAACTATTGAGATTTGGGCTCTAACCACATGAGTCTCACATCAATGAGCAGAGTGGATGAAAGTTCACGACTTGTCCCAAGGGAAAATGACACACACACAATATTTTAGAGATGCCATCTCTCTTTATACTGCCTGAATCAATAAAAATGCATATTGCCAAATGTATTGTTTGATTATTTAATATATTTTGCGCCGCTGCACAGGGCACACCTTCACAAGGCAGCTTACAAGAGAAACAAATCAAGTGACAAAATTTATAATATAATAAAATAGCCTTAGATGAAATCATATACCAAGCAAGCAAAAAAATGAAAAACCAGTAAAAAGCTTGGTGGAACAGAGAAGTATTTAATCTTTAGGGCTACTTAAAACCTGTGAGAGAAAGGGCCAAACAGATTTCTCAGGAGCAGAAACCTCACAAGAGTGTGGGCACCAATGAAAACTCCCTGTCCCTGGCAGCAGTCAACCTGATCAACTTTAGTGGGTGGCCCAAGTTCAGGATTCCTGAGGCAGAACTCAGGGACTGGACAGGTTCATATGGGTATAGGTAGCCCTCCATCCAAACCATTAAGCACTTCAAAAGTTTAACAACAGCGCTTCAAATGGAGCATGGAAACAAATGGATAACCAATGTAACTAATGGAAAAGTGTTATGTTATGATATGATCCATCCACCAAGTTCCTACAAGCCTTCTGGTAGAAGTTTGGATCAGTTGAACCTTCCACACTTTCTCTTCAAAGACAGTTCTACACAGGGAACATAGCAGTACAGTATGGCCATGTCTTATGCACATTTAACTATATGCAGTTGAAGGTCAGCTGGTTGAAATCCTGCAGCTTAAATGAAGAGCCACTTGCACAGAGAGTGTCTTCCTGCCACGGAAAGAGTTTTGAGTTCTGTGCCTTGCTTACCAGGCTCTGGGAAGGCTTCACACCAGCTCTGGGATCTCACAGGATCCTCCCAGAGCTGGTGTGAGAGCTCCTAGAACCCAGTAAGCAAGCTGGATAGCTTAAGAGCTCTCTGCTTTGGCATTGGGAAGGGAGGCAACACCCAGTTGGCATGCTGGCTCCAGAGAGAGAGGGATAGCTGTGTCAAGCTGCAACCTGGGGTTATTCTGGCTGCATGGAATTTTAGCTTTGGGTACAATGCCCAGAACCTAACCACAGGAAAAGTCACAAGTTGACTGTACCTACTTATTTTCCCACTCCTCTAGATGAACTGGTAATCACTGAGTTTATTGCAATATTTAAATATTTTACTAGTCTTTTAGCTTTGTTGGATTTTGATGCATATCATGTATTGTGATTTTAACCGGCCTTGAAATTCTTTTTTGAATGGAAAGGAACTAGAAATATTTTAAATAAATAAATGATAAACTACGCCAATCCTCATCCTCTTTTTTTTGGTGATGAAATATGCTTCCAATGGATTGTAACAGAAATCTACATTTCCTTAATAGTTAAGGATCCCAGTTAAATGCAATTTGTCTTCTTCGAGTTGAGTTTTCTAATATATTCTGTCTTTTGTTCCTTGGTTTTCCTTCCTACTTCATTGTGCTGGGTATCACACTGAATACCTCGAGTTAGCCATTGGCGCTTACAAACTTCTGAAATTTACCCCCAAGATCCCAACGGACAACACAGTCATATTATCTGGAAAATCTCTCTGTCAGCAGAAAACAATTTTCACTTTAAAATATATAAATATTTGGCATACGCACAGCTTAAGGATGAAATGTTAAGAGCAACCATCAGTTTTTGTTTTCAATCCCTCCACCACCATTATCCATTCTGTTTCCTGGCTTTCATCACGTGGCACACCCAATCCACTTTTGACGAATTCCTTATCCTTTTCATATTTGCAAGTATTCAAGGTTCCAAGAAAGCCTAATTTATAACATGGAGGAGGTTGCAGATTTCTGGCACATGCAGTTGTGCAGATGTTATTCCTTAAGGAAGTCTATCTTGATTGCCTGTGTGAATAATGGCTCAGAGCTGGCATAGTGCCAAGAGTTCTCTCATAGCTGAATGTATAAAACTACTCTCCTACTGAAAGAAGGCCCCCAGTAGGATAATATATTATTACGCATGATTCAAATTACAGGATCTGCAGCAGGGGAGCTAGTGGCTGAATAAGGACAAGCACACACGGAATACTGATGATGGCATGATGGAATCCATCATGCATTGAAAGAAGCATCGTTTTAGCATTTAAATCCTCTGTATTCTTTTCAAAGTGACTATACTGATGATTACACAGATGAACGTAATAAACTAATCATGCCTATTTGTGATTTAAAAAAAAAAAATACATCAAAGACGAGTTCCTGCAGTATTTTTATTTTGAAATAAAGCTGTGCTTTCTTACTGAGTACTTGAAGCCCACGAGCTATAATTCAATAAGACAATATTAAATTCGTCCCCTATCTGATCCTGTTCCAGCGATTAGGATACTGTAGAACAAAACTTGTTTCATTCGGTTATGTGGTCTGAAATCTCTGCGTTCCACAGTATTCTGGGCTGTTTTTAAGTCACTTGGACAACAAATTACTTTACCCACAAAGAACTAAACCCACATGTTTGACACATTATTGGCTTGCCAAGCGTTTTCCTTTTATAAAGAAGCACTGTTCATGAAACAATGCATAAAAAAGGAAGGGAGGAGAAAGAAGGGAGGTATTTAGCACCATTGTTTGCTTGCAAAAAAAGTCTCATCCAGGGAAAGAGCTATTATTTGGGGGATTAATATGCAAGTGTTAAACACAAAAAAACTATAACCAGTGACGGAGTCTATATATTGCTTTGCTCAAAATAGCCTCAAGCCAGCTCTCATCTTAACTTCTTTTCACACACTCTTGTATTCAGTTATTCTGGCAAAAGGGATGCTAATCAGGTGCTTTGTGCAGGGGGCGAGAGGAGTGGGAATGAAATTTGTTCAGAAATGACCTCAATCCTTTTCATTAATAAAATCACATCTAGGCAGAAAAGTGGCAGAAAATTAAATGCAGCACGAACGTGGTTCAGATGTGACATATACTTGCAAGAAAAGAGAATAGAATGTGAAGAGATTATGCAGCATAATAAGTCTGGAAGCATTCTGAGAAATGCTTAAGTGCAGAGCGATCTTATGCTGCAGCAACCTCTTTACCCCATGCTACCTTCCCAAGTCTTGAAAGAATGTTGTAATGGAGGAAAGGTTTTTGATGCACACAATATGAAGCAATATATCCCTATTATTAGAGAAGTAAAGCTGTTTTAAAAGCTACATAAGGCCACAAAACCCCCAACACAAGTGAAATAGTGCCCATGGTTATCAACACCTCCCTCCTCCTGAGACAACAGAGAGTTAAAGCACACACACACACACCTCACAGCATCTGGGAAAATGCAGCCACCATTTTGCATAGTGATTCAAATTATGCTGGCAGAATAATTAATTGAGCGACCTAATCTCAGGGAGGGGGGGGGAGAAAAAGGATACATTAAATAAAGTTCATTACTGCATGATGTAAATGAGTTTCTCACCAATGATGTCACTGATTGGCTGAGATGTGGAGCTGGTTTCGAACAGTGCAGCTTGGCCGGATTGGCTGCTAGCTCTTCTGGTTACTGCCTGCTTGGGCAGCGCTTGAACCAGACACTTTTCTGCCTCTCTTGTTGTCGTATGAAGCAAATCATGTTCAGCCCAGCTGTGTCTCCATAGTAGTGGCACCCTAAGAGATTCTCCCTCTTGCTTCCCACAGCTCATCTGTAAGGCGGTCGCTGCTGTGAAATACCAGCCTTTGGCACGGAGCCCAGACTACGTTGTTAGATCCGTCTATAATACAGAAAAGACATTTTTTTTTTTAAAAAAAAAAGCAGTTCTTTCACCAAATTGCATCCTAAGAAGGATTAATAACCCCCGATTGCAGCTGGTTTGTATAGTTTGAAATTATGTCGCTCAGAAACTTTCTAAAATACAGGAGGTGACCTATAGCAAATGAGAGTAACGTTGGCTCTCTGAGAAATAAAGGCAGGAAGAAAAAGCAAGCAAGACGCTTCTTTGTTTACCTTGATTACAAAATTCTTCATTTCACTGTAAGGACTGTGACCGATTTCTTGGCACAGACCCAACCCTTTTGATTTTTTTTTTTAAGAAAAAAAGAGCTAAAGCGCTGGGGTTTTTTTCCTATTTGCATCCGTGTAATTTTTCTATTTAAGACAAGGGATCTTAATTAGTATTCTGTTTAAGTATGCAAACTGAAGCGGGGCCATGATACCAAACGAAACGAAACAACAAAAAATCTGTATTGTAAGAGAAAGGAGGGGGAAAAAATCTGTACAGCTTTTACAGTTCAGCTGTCTGACTCTCTGGGAAGGAGAAGGGGGGGAAATGCAGTGATATCAACTTTGCCAGACAATGGAGTACCTACAGGCTTTCCCCCCCAGACATGTCTTTTATAACCAGTCAGTATTATGTGCTGCAGACAGTGGCCAATCAGTAAGCTCCTTTCTACAGCCGTGACACAATAGGTGCAACTGGCCACACGGTCCTCCTAGCCCCTGACAGCAGTTCAGGTTCATTTACCGTGTGCTGGAATACATGTCCGCCTTTAATATTTCAATTTTTTAAAAAAGCCATCATCAGCAGCATCCTCCTTTGTTTTAACTATAATTACATCAGCCTAATTACTGTGTATGAGCTGCAGTACCACCGTTCCAAAAAAAAAAAAAAAGGTCGCATTGACGTCACCCGATATAAATGTGCATGAACGCGGCTGGTGATTTAAATAATAAAATGCATCAATTGCTTATGCTTCTCACCCCCACCCACACCACCCATCGGTGCTTCCATCCTTTAACTAAATGAATTGAGAACACATGGGGGAAATGCAGGATCTGCTTTCAAACCTTCTTTCCTTCCTTCCTCCATTTATTTATTTATTTATTTAACCTTGCCTTCCCCATTTTTCATTGTAGCCTACTGCTAAGAAACCGAAAAGACAAATATGCTTCAAGTCGGCAAATGTGCAGATAGATAGGGCAAAGCCAAAGTATTGCCCCTAACTAGATCCTGGGAAATATATCTGCATGTGCACCATCACAGACCCACAGAAGTGCGATGATCGTTAGATGCATAGGGTGGCTATATATGTACGTATCCAATGGTTTGATAATTAATAGACTCCCTTGTAGCCGTCCCGGAAACTATTCATCTGGCCAAAAGATTAAATCATCACTTTTCATGTATTAGTTCAATATAATTGGTCACGTTCGGGGCGGGTGGGGTGGGGTGGGCGAAGAGCTGTCATGCTAATTTTTGTGGTTTTATGCATGGGATTTACATATTCATGAAGAGAATAGCTGTGATGACCACCGACAGAGCAGAATGAAAAGAAAGAGCACAATTCTTCAGAATACAGATTGCTTGTCCACACACACACACACACACACACACACACACACACCAAGAAGGTAAATGATGTAGCATATGGCAACAAGAAGAGGAAGCTGTCTGGCTTTATTCAAACCTCAAGATTTCTATGGTTTACGAACCTCTGAATATAGGCATAAGGTGCATTTATATTATTAATTACCTTTGTCTGATAGCAGGAGGAAAAGAATACTGCTTAGACCCGTTTGCTCCACATGTTCATTGTTATAAATTACACACGCATACAAATATGGATTGTTAGTTGGCATTTTATTAGAGAGGCATAAAATGCTTACAACAGAGAAACGCTTCTCCATGTCCCGTCCCACCCCACCCTTGGTTAAATTAACCATTTTTAGATCTGGTTTGTACATGGAATTGTATATTGCAATTAAGATTTATTTATTTATTCATACATACATACATACATACATACACGAATTCGTTCCATAGCATGGATTGTCATAAACTCAACTAAGCACTAGGGGGGAGGGGGGTCAGTTTGGTACTCATTTTCAAGCGAAAGTTCAAAATTCGCACTTCCCGAAATAATATGCAAACAGAAACACAGCTATCCTCTTCAAAATTTGCACGTCTTCAATTTTTGTGGTGCAGTTCTTCGACAAAAAGTGTGTACAAAATGCATATATCTGGGGAAAGTGTGCAAAATGTGCATAAAAACACATTAGTGAAAATTCATCATAAGGGAAATTACAAAAATATGCACATTTGGAGATATACACCATATAAAATGGATGAATTTCCTTGAAAACTTCTTTTAAAAAATCACAAATGGTTGTAGAAATGTGACAAACTTAACCCAAGTCTTAAAAAAATAGGAAACTAATCGAAATCAAAATTGACACTTTCCTGCATTGCTACTAAGAATCCACATGTCCTCTCTCTGCAAATGCAGGTGTTAAATCAGGGGTCAGCAACCTTTTTCAGCCGTGGGCCGGTCCACCGTTCCTCAGACCATGTGGTGGGCCGGACTCTATTTTGAGGGGGGAAATGAACGAATTCCTGTGCCCCACAAATAACCCAGAGATGCATTTTAAATAAAAGCACACATTCCACTCATGTAAAAACACCAGGCAGGCCCCACAAATAACCCAGAGATGCATTTTAAATAAAAGGACACATTCTACTCATGTAAAAACGTGCTGATTCCTGGACCGTGTGCGGGCCGGATTTAGAAGGTGATTGGGCCAGATCTGGCCCATGGGCCTTAGGTTGCCTACCCTTGTGTTAAATGAATAACCTGAAGTACATTTTATTTGTATTTTAAGATGCACAATTCAGTTCATATACATATTTTTTCTTTGTTTTAAAGGCAACATATCTGGTTTTTGTATAGTTTGCAAATGAGACATGTTCCAAGCCAGCCAGTGACAAATAGTATAAGGTTTTAAAGGGGTCTATCTGAAGGTCGCCCACTTTTTTTTAATCTTTCCATTTTTATATTCTTGCCATAGCATGACTGCCAACTAATTACTGATCACTGCTCCATTAGCAGTCTTACTTTGAACAATTTACAATCAAATATGAAAATAAATAATATAGACGAAATCTGGAGGAAAAGCTAATTAAGTAGTGAACTAATTTTTATTCCTTTAAAAATCAGCCTGACATACAACATGGATAGAAAAGCATGTGCAGATAACTTTCTGGGAAAGCAACTTGATATATTTAGCCCTAAATAGAATCATGTAACCAGTTGGCACTGCAGGTCTCTAGATCAACCAATGGCCAAAAGCGGATACTCTTCAGCCTATATGCCCCTATATATTAAGCCACATTTTCCGGATTATAGTGTGTCACAAACACAGAACAGCAGGGAAGTGTGTTATCGACTTGCTGGTAGCCAATGATTTAATCAGACATCTATAGTAGGGCAAGATCCAGCCCAGGTGTGGAGTGATCACTTGAAATCAGTGGGGCTTATAGATGCCTAACTCTATCTAGATCACACCCATTAGATTCTATATGGTAGATAACATTGAAAAAAATAATTGAATTATCTCATACATAATGTAGCATAATAAAGACTAGCAGTTATGGTTATAGTTCAGTTTCCACAAGTCAGATGAGTTTTCAGGTCTTCTAATTTATACAATTAAGAGTGCTCAAATTAAAAAGGTTCATGCATCACATTAAATCATGGTTAAAAATAAACAATAGTTAAAAATAAACCGTGGCTTAATGTGAATGAGCAGAGTGCAGGGTCATGCTGCTGAAAGGTCCTCATTTTGCTCCTTCCCCACTCCTGCTGCTGCCATGCCAGAGAAACGCAAACAAACCAGAGGCTGGCCTCATCTGATAGGTGAATCCGCACACTGGTGGTTTGTTCTTCTCCAAACACAAACAAGCAGAACATGAACAGAACAATACTCTCCTCACCACTCTTCCCACCTGTGATTCCCAGCCACTGGTATATTGCCTACAACAGTGGAAGGAGAATATAATATTATCCTCCATGTCTAATCTGCAAAGCAGAACTTTCTTTTGTCAGCTCTGCACCTTCCAATATTTAGGTTTGTTGGATGTCCCCAGTTCTAGTGCTATGAGAGGGAGAGAATTTCCTCTCTGTATCCACGTTCTCCAACCATGCATAATTTTATAGACCTGTCATTTCCCCTCTTGCTCACTCTTCTGTCCTCTAAGGTAAAGGTAAAGGTACCCCTGCCCGTACGGGCCAGTCTTGACAGACTCTAGGGTTGTGCGCTCATCTCACTCTAGAGGCCGGGAGCCGGCGCCGTCCGCAGACACTTCCGGGTCACATGGCCAGTGTGACATCGCTGCTCTGGCGAGCCTGCACCAGCGCAGCACACGGAACGCCGTTTACCTTCCCGCTTTTGAAGCGGTACCTATTTATCTACTTGCACTTTTAGGGGTGCTTTCGAACTGCTAGGTGGGCAGGAGCTGGGACCGTAGACGGGAGCTCACCCCGCCGTGGGGATTTGAACCGCCGACCATGCAATCGGCAAGCCCTAGGCGCTGAAGATTTACCCACAGCGCCACCCGCGTCCCTTCTGTCCTCTAAAAAGCCCCAAATGTTGCAACTTTAACTCATAGAGGAAATGGAAAGAGGCAAGTCATCTTGAGCCTGCTAATGTATTTCCTCAATGGGTTATTAAAACTTCCTACTGCATGCTTAGACAACATCTGCCTCCTGCTCACATCTTCATTCACAGGGCAAGTTACACTATCTGTAGCTTCTGTTCGTTTGATGTATGATTAGAACACTCATTGGCACTCCAACTGTTCCAATTTTCCTGGAGCAGCCACAGTTGAGAGTCCTGACCTGACTACAGTGGTACCTCTGGTTGTGAACTGGATCCATTCCGGAGCCCCGTTCGCAACCTAAAAGGAACGCAACCCGCATCTGTGCATGCGCGGGTCGC